AAACTATGAGTATTGTACTAATTGCAATATAAATATATTATATTATATAGTTATTAAAAAATTAAAAGTACCTATTTAGACAAATTATTTTCGCAAAAATGATATAACTACCTATTACATCAATAAATCACGAAAGTAAATGTGTATTTATATATATTTGTTTTAAGTCTCGTAATTGTAGACACTTATATATATATTCTATTTATGTATTGCAATTATTATAATAATCGTATTTTTTTGTTTACTTGATATACCTATAGTACACTGAATTACAGGATAATTACGGTTTTATGTCAATATTTTAGTACAAAAATAAAAAATATCAGAAATTAACTTTTTAGAATTTTGTAAATTAATTATTTATAAAATTTGCAATCTATTATTGTTTTTTTGATAAAAAATGAGTTGTTGGTCAACTAACTTGTTAGTGCAATTTTCCCAATTTTAGAAAATAGAATTATGAATTTCATTGTAATTTTCTTTATGTTAAAGTAGGTGAATACAATCATTATTGTTATAATTTGTTTTCTTTTAATTTTCCTGTACCTATTTGTGGTTTAGTCAGTGGAATTTACGAACAAACATATAAATTAAGTCAGGCATTTAAATTATTTTCATATTGCTTATTAATAATTTACATTCTCTATCTAATATTAATGTTTACTAATAAGTAGATCAATATGACAACATTCAAATTAAAAAAACAAAACTTAATTTTGTAAATTAATTTAAGTATATAGACACCCAGTTTTTGATAAATATCCTCCGGGCATTACAATTAAAATGTGAATAATTGGATTAAAAACCAAATAAATTACTAATTTATAAAACATTTTGTGCTTCTGCACCGTTTGATGTAGGCTCTCTGTATAGAACACAAAAAAATTGTTAAACGATTTATTTTTTTGGAAACGTGTTTCAATTTTGAACAAGACTTTTACATTTCCCCGAAAATGATCTTAAAGTAAAATATTGAATCTCCCCTTGGGCGTGCTGCGCAAAGAAACGCTCAGTACTGTACGACACCTTAAAATTTTAACATGTTTTTACTAATTACTAATTATGATTTACTTGTTCGATTGTCTTGTAGACATGTTAAGTTTGCGGAACTGGTTGACTGGCGGTGTATAAGAAACATACAGCAATGTATACGATTAAGTCACCCTCAACGGCACAGCAAAACATGCGCCAGAAGAATCGCTTCGTCCGGCTCCACATTGTGCGACGCCGTTTGAGTTGAACGCGGTCCAGGGCTACCTTCTGATGTGTTACGTCACTACATCTATCACTGGTATCTGATTCCGGTTTGCCGTCCTGTCCAAAGCGTATATGAACATTCGGAGCTGAAGAACATCGCCACCGCGTCGAACTGCCTATGACTTCGTCTACTCCCGAACGTCCGTCGAAGTTGTCTTAAGTTCCGTCTCCGGCACTCACTTACAATTGGTGTCGATTCCCTTCGGGGTAGCACTTCGTGGGAATTCACTGCATCGTCCACCAGCGACATACAATATCGTAACTTTGGCCCCGCGTAGTTAGCTACAAATATTTCGCGATCCAGTGGGCTGGGTGGCCGTTCGTTTAGTCCAAACACATCGGACATGTGACGGGGGCTGGAGCTCGCGACTACCAAAGGCTTACGGATGATGGCGTCACCGGCTGCAGACGGTGGGTGGCCCACTGATGAAATGTTTCTCACCGACTTATGTCTTCTCATCGCCGGCCTAGTTCCAATTGTCATTCTATAGTCGGTATGCGAATTTTGCTGGCACGGAGATCCTCGAAAACCGTCTGCCTGGCTTCGCTTCTCGACAACTGGATTGAGGTTTGATGTTCAGACGTCATTTTAAATGTAAAAATATATGAAGATATAATAAGAATTTTAAAAGTTTAAAATATGACTGTTAAGAAATATAATAAGAACTAAGAATGTTTAATCGCCGGCCTGGCTCCAATCGTCACGATCATTCTAGCCGGTATGTGAAATAAAATATTTGCTTTGGAACAAGTGATTAAAACGTATACATCTTAACCTTATACTACACTTGAAGAAATGCAATTTAAATATACAGGCTATTTGTTTTGTTTAATAGATTACATTTAAAATATGGCAGTCAAGAGAAAAAACAACTTCAATATCGAGGAGTAGTGATTAAAAGCTTGTATGGTGTAAAAAGAGCAGTACTGCAGTAGATAAGGAAAAAGCTACAAGAGCCTTGCTCGAAAAACAAAAATATATGATATTATCTATGATAAATTAGAAGTCTTGGATAAAGATTCAAAGATTCAAAAACTAGAGGTAACAGTATAATGAAACAATAATATCATGTCAGTTACATTGAATAATAATACAGTAGTACATTTTTTTAATAGATTCAAAAGGAAGATTATGATCAGAAATGTAAATTACTAAACAGACAATCAACTTTACTCTGCAGGCAAGTGAAAAATGATTTTAAGGAAATGGAGTCCATGAAAAAAAGTACGCATTGTCATTTAGAAATTTGTCGAATATAATATAAATGATGTCAATCATTGTTTATTTTTGTTTTTACCAGACATCTGGAGAGCAAATAAAGTCTTTGAAGGCGTGGAACAAAAAAATTATGAATTATGAAATAAGACTGAACTGAAAGAGAAATTAGGGGAATCTTTGAAAACGCAATTAGAATTTAATGCCAAATGCCAAAAACGTCAACAATTAAAAGCAAACCAAATGAAATCTACTACCGAAGAGGTAAAACAATTTTCTCAAAATAATCAGGAGTGATTAACTTACTGACGATCTCCGTACTTAATACATTTTAGTATTAGACATGTAAATAATATTTTCTTGTTGAAAATAACTATTTATTCATAAACTATGTAAATAATTTTACTTAAATAATGTGTTCATTGGAGTATGTTAAACTTTAGTTTGAGAAAAAAATCCATAAGATGCAAGAAGAGTTGAGAATAATACTAAACAAAAAAACGATGAATTGACAAACGCAGTTGCACGATTTCAGACGTCAAGCACTCAAGCGAATCCGATAAGAAAATTCCATCGAAAAATATCAATGAAGCAAAAATTGAAATCGGGAAATTGTCAATTGAAAATTAAAAATTAACGTAATCAGTATGATTTGTGTTTAATATTGCTTATTCTAGGAAGATGAAGTAATATTATATTTGAACGGTTAATCAAGTAACAATCAATTACATAGGTATCTATTTTTAGATATGAAAACAAATGTCTTTCGAAGTTGAAGGACGAAAATAAATTATTACAATCCAGATTAATGACTGGAGAACGGAATTTGTTTTACCTTCAAACGAAATTTGATAAATTGTACAACGAGAAACAACGCCAGATAAATGCATAGAGAATATAAAAAAATTTCTTATAAAATCCTAAATTATAAATTGTATTGTTCAATGTGTGTTGCAGATTGTAGTTGCAATGAAGATGAAAGTTTCTGTTCCAGTGTTGTTCAAGCACAAACTGTCCACTGTTTCAGAATATACATTACTTATTGTTATACTTACATTTAATAACATAATAAACGTACATATAAAAAAATGCTTAATTTTTTGAATATTTAACTGACTCAAAAGTAATTGAACTTTTGAATTTACTATATTGAACGAGTAACTACCTAAAACATAAGAAGGGCTTGTTTTAAACTTCTTAGATGAATACGAGTATGTTGTTTACTCGCCGATTGAACATTGAGTTCAAATGCGTTAATACGAAATAAATAAATAATATTAACGAAAATGTTACCATTGTACCTGGACTTCCCTACTGTACCTTTTGCTGTATTCATTTAATATAATACATAATTAATTAGTTTTTACATTTTAGACGTGTATTACAGAAACCATAAGAACTGTATGAAATCACGAAAATTGTATTGATCAAGATGTATGCAGTTTTATATTGGCTATTCATAATATTACTTTTTGTCACACATACAAGTGTTTGCTACCTACCGTAACAACCGTAACAATCGTAAAAAACGACCTACAGTACTAAACTTATCCCTACCACAGTTCTTGACCCCCAAAAACCTGCTAATGGCCTTAGTCACCGGGCTTAAGTTCAATAAAAAAAATGTATATATATAATGTTTATAATTCGAATGAAAATATCTACCATTACTTTTAGGTACCTAATAATCAATAATAAAATAAACCGATGTACCGGCACAGACATACATTTTTGAGACTCTTACATAGCGGAATTTATGTGGTGATAAAAACTAAACAATAGTGATCCATTCGACACCATCTTAAAAGAATAATAAATGCTAAAATGAACTAACGCTCGCTAAAAACACTATTATCAAAAAATAAATTTACTAGGTTAAAAACCAGACTACTTGCATACAAAACTCTCCTAAAGCCAATATGGACATATGGATTACAACTCTAGATTCAAAAGGAAATGGTGTCGTGACCATTTAAATTAAATATCCCTCCTTAATTACACTAGACATCATGTCAAGTAAGTGCCACTAATCGGTGGCTTCTTATTCAAGCAATCCATGTTTTAACACTTGTCATATAAGCTTATTGTACAAAATGTATGGATTGTGTATGTGCACTTATAAAAAAAAATAAAAAATAAAATAGACAATAGCTTCTAATAATTATTTCAAGTATCAAATATTCTTTTGCGAATTAGTAATAAGTAATAACTCATGGCATGATGTGATTATTAAGATTATTTGTATGTTCAGATTTTGTAATTCAAAACAATTAGGTAGTTAAAAAATGTATAGTGTTCATACAAAAATTAATCAAACGATAGGCATTTAAATAAATTTTGTAAGAACTCAAAAAAAAAAAATACATTTTATCTACCTAGTTATTACTTATTGCACTCTCATAATTTAATAAATTCTTTTTAAATTCTTTCCTATGCACATCAATGAACACTATTTAATTTGAACAACTTTTAAATTAAAAATTGATGATAATGTATATAATAATATCATACTTTTCATCTGAAACAAACTGCCACAAATAAAGTTGTAAATATTGAATATGAACTTGAATCTGTTGAAGTCAGTAGCGATTAAATGTTCATAAACAAACACATTCAAAGTATCTATAACATTAGAAGGAAAAAATTTAGATTACAATGAGGTATGCAAAGAATTTCCAAACCTTTATACTTACTTTAATAATGCCTGTTGTAATAGAAACCTTCAAAAATTGAAATGGTGAAAATATGTCGATGGGTTCTGAAAACAATCTATTGATGGCAGAAAATGTTTGGGTGTTCATAGCAATTCCACCAGTTGACCAAACTCCTATTGCTCTTATATGTCTAGACATTTGAGCCCTACAACTGGAATCACTTCTTCTGTCTGTTCGCATACCTTCTTCAAATAATTTACCAACCTAAATAATAAAGAGTAAATAATTAGTAATTACAGAAGGATTTTAACCTCTGTAGGAACAAAGCAAATAGTTACATCTTTACCTCTTAAATGTATGTATAAAATTGTCTCAGTTCATTCACTATTTTATTACAATCATTGAGTATTTTCTTTAACGATACTTGATTCCCATATTGAGTTAAGACCATTGATATTCATGTTGACCATGAAATATTCTTGAACAACCCATAAAAGAAATTATATCAAAATTACATAATTTTTTTTGTAATAAACATTCAGTTAATTAATATTATGAGTAATCTTCTATTAAAAGTTTATTTAATCTTGTTGAACGGTTTTTTTTTTGCAAATGTTATAATAATGTATGGGTCTCTGAAAGTTTTGATACTTCATCTCTATTGGCCTAAATGTATTAAAAACCCATCAAAGAATACGGCTATTATTCACAAAACTATTACTTGCATGCAAAGATGATATAATTATTTCTGAAGTATAATTATTTTCGTCCATTTTAAATAAAAGCAAAACCATGTCTTCTTCTAAACTTCAATATCATTTTTCATCTATAACAAAAATAAAAATTTAAGGAACTAAAACCATCCTTGTATTTTATTATATTAAATATGATATATTTTACCCTAGTTGAATACCTTACTTTTCCAATTGTATCGGTAGCCAAAATAAATTTGTTGTAGTTTTCATATACTGAAGTTTGCATATCAGAATGTAAATATTGAATATCTTAAATTACTTCTCTTTTGTTATCTATTACTTGTTTTAAATTTGACTCATGCATAATATTATGAATTTACATATCTATACTATTGCTTATTCAAAAGAAGTATTTTTAAGTTTAATGGAAGCAAAACACTACTGAAATTATAACAATTGTATAATTGTCAATCATGCATAGTGTTTAACACAAAGTAGTATGTTTTCGTTGTCAAATTAAATTGTTGAAGAAATACTTTGATGAAAAATGTAATTTACATAGATTTGACTTATTTTTTTAACTTAAGTAGGTACCTTTTTGACTTACATTTCTGCATTGAAACATGCACCTCTAATGTCCTAGACTTTCTGATTTAATACTTATTTTATTACATATATAATATTCAGTTGGTTATCAGTAGCCGTCGTAGCAGGTTGTCCTCCGTACTCTGATTACCGTAACATTTATATTTCGTACCCGTTTAATATGCCTTCAAATAGGGGTCGCGGGTCTCCCCAAACCCGCAATCTTCAACACGCCCCAAGAAAGAGAACGAACGAAGCTCCACTTACTCCACCCTTCCAAAGTAAAAACAAATTTACTCCGCTTCAAAACATCGACGACGAAACTGATCAAGACGGCATTTCTACAAACGACAACGCACAAGACGCCCAGGTTAGTCCCAAAATACCGCCAATCTATGTCTACAATATCTCAAATTACGAAACATTTCACACTTCTTTATCAAATCAAACTTTTGACGATTTCTCGGTCACACACACAAAAAACTCATTAAAATTGAACCTAAGCTCAATCGAAGATTATAGATCGATTACAAAAAGTTTCAACGAATCAGAAATTCAATATCATACCTATCAATTCCAAACTGAAAAACAATTATCAGTAGTCATCAGGAACCTTCCAATTCCAATAACGGAGGAAATGATTTTCAACGAGCTTAAAGTACTTAACTTCGATGTAGACACCGTAACACGTCTCCAAAACCGTTATAAAAATCCTATTCCAATTGTCGCCGTTCTCCTCAAAAAATCGTCTCCGAACATTTACTCTTTAAATAGATTACTACACTGTGTAGTTTCTGTAGAACCAAGAAAACCATCAACTGCATGGCATCCCTCAGTGTACAAACTGCCAAAGATTCTCGCACACTAAAAAATTTTGTCATTTACCGCCCAGGTGCGTTAAATGCGCGGGCGATCATCACTATACTCAATGTCAAAAAACTCTAGAAACTCCCGCTAAGTGCGTCAATTGTAACGGTGTTCATCCAGCTAGTTACAGAGGCTGTACATTTTATAAAGATATAACAAAAAACAAAAATAAAAC